AAATTTTTTCCGAGAAGTGGACCAGGGACCGATCTATTCCAAAAAATCGTATTTATGGTCCGATTTGCTTAAAATTTGGTACGTACGTAGTTTTTTAGCATATCTATACTATCTTTTTTGTAACAGGTAATCTCGCGAACGGCTGGTCCGATTTTCATGAAATTTTGTACATAAACAGCTTTCGGTAACCACCATGTTTTAGGCTAAAAAATTTAATTATGGTCCGATTTGCTTTAAATTCGGTACGTAGGTAGCTTTTTGCCTGGATAAGATTATAGATTCCTGTTTCCAATTTTCATGCAATTTCGAATATAAATAGCTTTAAGTAACGACCATATCAAGGAGCGAATTCGTCACTAGGCAATATTTTTTTGCGCCAATCAGAAACAACGGATACTGTAACGGATAGTTGTAACGGTACACGATACAACTCGACGACAAAGAAAATGGATTTCCACATAAAAAAGGAATCAAAAGTCTAACAAAAGTATAGAACTCGTATCATTGAGACGCTCTGATTGCTGTTGCCTAATTGTTTGAGATTGTTATAGTTGTAATTGAATTGATAGCGACTAGCAAAATGAGCATAACAAGAAGCCAGAGCTAAAAAAACACACTTGCAGACCTTCTCAAAGCATTGTATGTGTGCCCTGCTGTGTGCAATTTCTGGATATTTCTGACTACAACTGAAAGCCGCAAAGGGCAAAAGTGGCTAATAGGAATTTGGTTGAAGTTCACTCATCCAGCAAAGCAATGAAGCTACGTACATACATATATAGTAAATTAGAGGGGCAAAAAAAGCAAAAGGGGGAAAAAAATAAAACAGATTAAGAATTTTGCGTTGAAAAGAAACTGGCGATAATGATGTCCATGCTGAAGCATACGAAACTTTTAAGTTAATTACATAAACTCAGCAAGGACACAGGACTGCTCGGCGCACGGTGGAAGAGCCAAATATAAAAATGACATAAAAAAATTTGAAGAATCGAACGGATTGGTAAACCAAACTATCGGAAAAGATAAATGTTATCCGATTTTAATTCAATTCGGCTTGCAGCTAAGTTTAAAGCAGAAAAAATTTAATCTGAAACCTGCGCACTGCCACGCCCACCAGCCATACCAAAACCAGTATAAAAACTAATTTTTCTTAAAACCGGATATTATCTAACATATCTGCCTCCTAATATAGCGGGCATGAAAGTTCACAATTTTTTTATGAATAAACTGCGAATTTTTATACAGAAAATATGTACCCCATAACTATAAAAAAATGTATACAAATTTATTTATTATTGCTTATAGTTAAGTGGTAAATATTTTTATGCTTCATATTCTGCA